GCCGACTTGCGGATGCCTTTGCCCCCCACAACGTGGTCCTGCTTCAGTAATAAAGTGTTTGTCTTCTGTCCCGTTTGAGAAATAACGTTATTTGTTTGGTGTTAACCGTTTAAAGCCCAAAATGCATGCGTTCCTGGCGTGCTCCTGCGTGAGCGGGGAGGCTGCTAAAGCTGGCCTGGAGCCAACGCCGCCGCTTTGGCGGATGCTGCGTGCCCCGGGGTGGTGGTCGCCTTAGCGTGTGGGAGCTCCCGGTCCTGTTGGGGTTCCTGACGCCGCCCCTCGACTGTCGTGTGCAGGACATGAACAGGGAGGTGGTGAAGACTGACTGTGCCACGGCTCGAATTCCAGAGCTGGACTTTGAGATCCCTGCCTTCACCCAGAAGGGAGGTGGGTGCGCGGCCCGTGTCCCTCAGCGTGCCGGCGAGTGCACGGTAGACACCGGTTGAGGACCTGGCCTCGGGTCTGTTGGGCCCAATAAGCTTGGCAGGCCCAATGTGCGGAGGCTGCCAGGATTTGGTACGAGCTGGCAGGGTGGGTAGTGCCGCTGTGGTGTCCTTACTGGTGTCGTTGCTTCTGTTTCCTTTCCTTCTCAAGTTCTTACCACTATTGAAGGGATAATCGACAGAGCTGTCGCGGGCCTTGAGCAGGACCAGCCTGTCCGCAGGGTAAGATGGTGTGAAAGGGGAAGCTCCTCGGGGACACCTGCTTGGCAAATGCTTATTTTGTTCCTCTGCTGCCTGTTGGCATTGCACGCTGCTGCTGAGAAGGGTGTTAGGGGCTCTCTGGTTTGTGCCGTTGTCAGCGTTGTCTTCGGCTCTGAGCCGCCCCTGGCATCGGTCTCAAACGCGTCCTTTTTTGCAGGCAACGGACAAAGAGGTGGCAAGTAAAATAGATGAGTTCATTGGTAAACTAAAGCAGCTGAAAGAAGTGCGTTCCTCCTTCACCTTTGTGAGTACACGCAAGAGCGCAGTCCCTTTCTGCAGCGGGGGAAGCGCAGGGTGGCTTCTTAAGGCTTCCTTCTCCCATAGATCATTGACGATCCTTCGGGGAACAGCTTTGTGGAGAACCCTCACGCACCGCAGAAGGATGATGCTCTTGTGGTCACTCGCTACAGGAGGACTCCCCAGCAGGCTGCCATGCTGGGCCTGGAGGTAACGAGGAGCTGCCGCCGCTGCGGTGTCGTCAGCCTGCCGCGCACACCAGGCCACACGCGCTCCCAGCCTGAGGGGGAGCGGGGCCGCTCGGTCCCCTTGCTCTCTGGGGGACCCTGAATTGAGGAACACAAGTTAATGCTGCTTCTGGCGTCCCCTCTTGCAGGGAGAGGAGTCGGACGAGAAGCCAGCTGACCCCACGGAGGATCTGAGGAATGAGGTGGGAGGCTTGGCAGTGCAGGGGTGGCTGTGCCTGGCTGACTAGCGCCCCAGACAGGCTGTCTGGGCTGGCCGGGACTTTCTGATTCTCCTTTCCATTGCTGTGCCCCAGGTACTGCAGTTCAACACCAACTGCCCTGAGTGCAATGCTCCAGCTAACACCAATATGAAGTTAGTGCGTATCCTTTGAGCAGGGGTGTGGGCGCAGAGCGGTGCCCTGCACGGGGGTCTGCATGGAGCCTGGCGTGGGGCCGAGAGTCGCTCTGTGTGCTGACCCAGGTGTCTTCCTGCTGCAGCCTGAAGGCACGAATAAACTATTTCTAGTAGCGCCTGTCAGGGTGCAAATCTTGTCTCGGTGCCGCTCACAACTGGCTAGCGAGCTCCTGCCATACCTCGGGAAGGACCGCGGCTGCGACGAGGGCGCCGGCTGCTGCTTTGAGGTTTCCCTTTTGTTCAGTTTTCCTTGACTCTCTGCTCCAGAAATCCCACACTTCAAGGAAGTGATTATTATGGCCACAAACTGCGACTCCTGTGGGCACAGGACAAACGAGGTGAGCTGGAAAACTCCTGAACCTTTCTTGGGGGGCAGTGGGGAGGGGGAGTGGCGTCTTGAAGAGCTCCTTTGGGTGCAAGTCTGCCATCTCCACCCCTGCTTAAGTCCCCTGGGTTAAGGCCTGTCCCCAGGTTTGGAGCGGCCCCTCAGCTGCTAAACCCTCTTGGAGCATCATGGCGTGATTTAGGCGTGAAGGTCCGTGAAGCTGACTGCCGGGTGTTCCTAGGTAAAGTCCGGAGGAGCTATTGAACCACAGGGCACCAGGATTACCCTTCGGATTACAGACCCTTCTGACATGACGAGGGATATCCTAAAGGTACGGTGCCTTTGAATACCCACCCTGTCGTGCTGTGGTGGGTGCATGGGGCCCGTCCGCCTGTCCGCAGGGACTCACTGGGTGCTCGCCCTTGCAGTCAGAGACGTGCAGCGTGGAGATCCCGGAGCTGGAGTTCGAGCTGGGGATGGGAGCGCTGGGGGGGAAATTCACCACGCTGGAAGGGCTGCTGAAAGACATCGGAGACCTGGTGGGTGGTCCCGCGCTGCTGCCTGGTGGAGCTCGGACCCCTCTGCCTTAATATTTGGCCTGGCTGTGGGGCTGGCTGCCTCGCAGCTGGCTGAGTGAGTGGGTCTGCTCTTCCAGGTCGAGAGAAACCCCTTCACTCTGGGGGACAGCTCTACGCCCAGCAAAACGGAAAAACTGCGGGAGTTCCTTGGGAAACTGCATGAGGTGAGCGTGCTCCGAGTTTTCCGTGCTCTGCAATGTGGTGTTCGCCACTGTCGCCGCAGCCAGGAAGTATCTTTAACCCAACTCCTCGGCAAGTGTTGCCTTGCCACACCCCGCTCGCCCCGCTGTGTCCTTGCTTGTTTTATCAAGCTATTAGTGTTTTTTTCACTGAGGAAAACTTCAGAACTGCTCGCAGCGTGCTGCGAGTGTCTTGCTGCCGAAGTGCTGAAGGTTGAGGAGCCTTAATGCCTGGATGTGCTCTCTTTCTGCAGATCCTGGAGGGAAAGACGAAGGCTCACTTCATCATGGATGACCCTGCAGGCAACAGCTATCTGCAGGTACGGTGTTGCACGCTTGAAACGTGAACTCCTTGAAGTATCCCGAGCGGTTTGAGTGGGTTTTCTCCTTCCCTGGTGAGTGTGGGTGGGCAGGGTTCCCCTCTGGGCTTTGGTGGGCGAGTGGGTTGCCGCAGGCTCTGTCCAGGGAAAGGAAACTGCTGCTGGCTTTGTCGGGGGGAAGGTGGGAGCGGCGTCTGCTCCCCGGGATTAGGGGCTGGGAATGCGGGGGTCCGGTCTGGCCCGAGTTGTGCTCTCCTTGATGGACAAGGCTCGCCCTTGGGCGGGGGTGTGGTGTGTGAATCGTGCCCACAGCCCGTTGGCGTGGCTGGGGTGCTGCTGAAGAGGGGCTTTGCAAAGTGGGGTGCAACGGAGGCCTCTGTCTCGCCCCGCAGAACGTGTACGCCCCGGAAGAGGACCCGGAGCTGAAAGTGGAGCGCTACGAGCGCACGTTTGAGCAGAACGAAGACCTGGGCCTGAACGACATGAAGACGGAGGGCTATGAGTCGGAGGGAGCC